AAATGCAGGTGTCTCAGCCCTGCACATTTCTGAAATAAAGTAGGAACAGCCAACAACTCTGCATGCATGTACCATTCCCCATAGACATCAACAAGCAAAGAGATAGCTTTGGTGGTGAATGGAAATACCCCTCCCTGGGGAGAACATGCAGGCAGGGTGAAGGTCAGTTGCAAAGGGGCTGCTTTGACCAGGCCACCATGGAAATCCTCACCAGCTCAGGGTACTGTTTTTTCTCCCCTTTCTGAATCTTAGATAACACATGTGGTAAATATAAGCCTTCAGTTTTCCAAGAAACATAAAATAAAACTGAATTACTGGCAGAGAAGCTTTAAAATCTTTGGTTCCTAGGACTCTGTGGACACATTTTCCACACATTATGATTTTAATTTTATTTGCCTCCAAGGGATGGCCCTGCGGCAGCTCTGTTGCATAAGGTGCTGTTCTAAGCACCTTGTTCCCAACTAGAGACACAGAATTGGTTTATCTAGGTCTGAGAGAGTTATGGAGGGGTGACACTGTGTTCCAGGCTGCACTGGTTATTATAGTCAACAGTGGGAAAGCTGCCAGAGCCTTCTCACCAAAGAAGCTGAGAGAATATACCAAATACTGAATGGCAGTTCTTTCTTAAAGCACAAAGTGGTCATAAAAGCCACTTAACAAGGAAAAATTAATGGGAGGAAAATGTCTTGAACGTAGCAAATAAAAATAAACTTTATGAGGGACATGGAAAAAATAGATTTACTATGTTGGAGGGATGGTAATAAAGGAAAGTCAATTTTACACCAAAAATAATTCAATGAGTAGTATATACTTTACAAAGCCTTCACAAAATAATTCCTATAAGTAGCGCTATCTTTTCATTTGTTCTTTCCTTCCTTCGTCCACTAAACATCTATCGAGTGCTCAGCCTACTCTAGGGTCTGTGCTAGGGAAGCCATGGTGAACCAGAAAAACATCATTGTGGTCTCTCTGTCTGGCTGGAGGGACAGCCCCTAATCAGATCACTACACAATCAAAGAGTCACTGACGGAAGGAACTAGAAAGTAGACTCCCACAGTGCTATGGGAGCCATGCTTCTTCTATTCTGAGGTTCAGAGAAAGCTTTCTCAGAGGAAGGGATACTCCAGGTATCGAGAGCATCCCATGCAAAGGCTCTAGTTTCGAGAGATCCTGGTGCTTCAAGAAAAGGGGGGCCATGGGGCTGCAGAGGTCAGCCAGAGCCAGGGGGCAAGGGAGGTCTTGGAGGCTGTGGTGAGGAGGAGGTTTTGATCATAATTTCATAGTATATCGAAATACTGCTCCCTGGGGGAGCAGGGAATCAGTGAGGGTTGTAAGCAGGAAGTAAAATAATCAACGTGGCTCTTTTTTTTTTTTTGTAAAGACAGCCACAAGCTGTGAGAAAAATCGACTGACAGTGCGGGGAGCCTACAGCGGAAGCAGAAAGACCAGTCAGGAGGCCGCTGTGCTTGCGAGGGCAAGAGCTGCTGGTGGCCATGGGGAAGAGCCAAGTGAATGGGCTGACTCATCCAGGGCCTGTTGGAAAGGGTACCGTGACCCAGATGAAGTGGACTCAGAGAGCAAGAACTGTGGCTGACCGTGTCCCACCCAGGCTAATCTGATCATTAATATTTAGTTCCGTTAGTTGATGAAATGGATAGCATCATTCCTGGCAGAAAGACAAGTAAAGTCTAGATTATGTGTATCAATGTCTACTACTAACTGAATACTCTGTGTGCTTTATAAGCATGACTACATTTTCAGGCCTCATCATAACCCATCGCAGTAGCTATTGTTATCCTATTTCACATAGGAACAATGAGATTTAGAGAGGTTAAGAAATTTGCCCAGCTGGTGACTGGCAGAACCGGGATTGAAACAGCTAACTACTGACCTGCTCTGGGACAAGTGACATGTCCCAGGAAGCCTGGGTACACACCAGATCTGCAGATAGGCTGTTGGTTCTGGCCTAGGGCGATTTGAGCCACCTTTGCCCACCTGCTTGCCCAGGGGTCTCTTCTGGCAATTTTAGGAGCCACATAAGCCAGCTTGGGATCTTCTCACATGCGTGTGTGCAAACCCTCACAACAACTGGGCTTTTTCTCCCTGTGGCATGGGTTCTTCCACCTTGGGCAGACAGACCTGCCTTGTAGGTCAGGGGCAGCAGCTCTGGGTAGGAACAAGTCCTTCCCAGGGGGGCTGACTTCAGTTCCAGAAAAATGTGTCACGTTTTCATAGAAATTGGCCAGAGTGGGTAGGAGGAGAGAGAACAACACTCCAAGTAAAGAGAACCCTGTGGGAAAAGGCCTGGGGGTGGGAGTGAATGCTGCGGGTTTTAGGAGTTGCACAAACCTCACAGGGGGCGTGGATGAAGAGGTGGACAGGAATTTACTGAGCAAGGCTTTAGAAGGTATGCTTTGTGGTTTCGATTGATCCCACAGGTAAAAAGAGCCCTGAAATATCTTCAACAGAAGACTGATGAGGTGGTGTTTTCATATTAGGAATATTTCTCTGCTATCTGCCTGCCTGGGAGCAGGCAATGTGTGGCTTTCTTCAGTAGGTGATGCCCTGGGCAGTGTCAGGTTCTGGATTGGAGACCACATGATGATTAAAGACTCAGAAGGATATGATCAAACTGCCTGTACCTTTAAAAAACAAATTTGTCCAGAGGGAGTCCTTTTTTCAGAGACCCTAGATTGGAGTTACTCAGACATCAAGGGAATCTGAACTGTTACTCAGATTTTTGTTTCAAACAAAACAGCTTTACTTGGTTATATGTATGTGTGCTTAACCCTATTTGAAATCCACTGTATTAGTTTTCTATAGCTGCTATAACAAATTTCCACAAATTTAGAGGCTTAAAATGGCACTAATTTATTATTTTACAGTTCCGGAGGTTAGAAGTTTGAAGTGGATCTAACTCGGCTGAAGTGCCAGCAGACTGGTTCCTTCTGAAGGCTCTAGGAGAATTCTTGCTATTACAGCTTCTGAAGCCACCTGCATTCCTTGGCTCAAGGCTTCTTCCTCCACCTTCAAAGCCAGCAGTGTAGTAACTTCAAATTTCTCTGACCTTTGCTTTCATCATCACATCTCCTTCTCCCATGCTGACCCTCATGCCTCCCTCTTCTAAGGGCCCTTGTAATTACTCTGAGCCTACGTGGGTAATCTTCCATCTCAAGATCCTTAACTTAATCATATCTACAAAGCCCCTTTTGCCATGTAAGGTAAGATGTTCATAAGTTCCAGAAATTAGGATGTGGACTTCTTTGGGGGTTATTATTTTGGGGGCTTAATTTGTTAAAGTGGGACTACCGTTCACATTAACAAATTAAGAGAAAGAATGATAAATTTGGCAGCCAGGAGAAGGATGATCCTCCCAGGGAGATCAAACAGGCGGCTGTTGCAACATTAGCAAGGAATATGCTGGTGATCTGGGCTGGAGTGGAATGAGAAGAATGGACACAGAATGTGTTTCAGATAGAGGATCGCCTGGTCCTGGGAACGGCTGGGGTGAGATAAGCAAGGACTAGGTAGATAGCAGTGACTTTGAAGGGCCCAAGAGGAGGAGCGGGTTTGTGGCAAGGACAAAGAAGGCATGTAGGGATGTGTCGCATTTAGATACCCATGGGATATTCAGGAGAGGTACCTGGGAAGAAGGTGGACCAAGGGTCTAGATGGCTGTGACTCTTGGGTCCCTCTTCTCCAGGTGGGCATACATGGGCTCATTATCCACCTTGATTTCTGAGTTATCATTTCTGTTTGACCCTAAATTCTCCAATTCCAGATAAGAGTTAAGGAGCCATCTTGTATTTCTGAGGCCAGAGTTGTACTGATATTTATTCCACATCTAGTTTGAGTTTATCAATCCTGAAAACAAGACTTTAAATCATGAAAGACATAAAGTCACTTGCACAAGACTCCCAACTGGCATGTGACAAAGCAGTTGTTATGTTACTTTAATTGTATGCTTGCAAGCATATATTTTAGAGATGGGGTGTTTTCTGTCCAGTCTTTTCTAAACAGGTAACCAGCCAGCTGCTTACCATTATAGAGCCTTGGAGATATGGATAGGACAGCTGGCAGAAGACAAAGTCTCTTCTTGTCTTTCAAGAAAGCCCGAGCTCATAAGAGCGTCTATTCTGAGTGTCCCCAAGGAGAAGGGGAGAGGGAATTTTCAGGGAAGCCAGGTTCGCAGGGAGGCTCCCCAGGCAGGGATCGAGAAGCGAGTCTACAGGTTCTGGAACAGAGGAAGCAGATGCCTGTCCTGTGGCAGCCCTGGAGCAGCAGGTTTAGCCCCATAAAGCCTAAAACTGAAAGTCTCTATGGATGGGACAATGGTTATGGCCTCGTTGCCAGAGAGGACCCATGGCCTGAGGGTGTTTCTCAGACTATTTGTTGCCGTAGGAGATCCTGGTCCTTGGAATAACCTGAGAAAGAGAAGCCCCGTGGAGACCACGATTGAATTTTCCACCAGCCTGGAAGATGCGGTCTCCAGGTAGGATTTATGCTTGATTTAAAGAAAATAAAGAGGGGAGTTATTTTGTGCTACGTATTTTAAGCTCTTATACTTCACATTTTTATATTATGGGGCACCTGCATATTTATTTGTGTACTTATTTCTCTAGCCGTCTTCCTCCTTAGCCTGGGATCTCCCTGAAGAGCAGGGATCTCCTGGGTGTTCCCCACAGTATGTCCAGTACACACTCTCATTACAGTGTGCAGGGGTCTCCCTGAGCTTCCTGAGAGTAGTGGTCTCGGGAGAAACTGGGAGGGGGCGCTTTTGAAACAAGTTAATTTCGAGAAGAGAAGCTGTGGATTGGGGTGGGGCGAGGTTTCTAGGAGAAGGGTTGTAAAGGAAAGGAAAATGGGCCGGCTGAGGCTCCAGGGGGTCCTTAGCGGAACCCACCTCAGCTGCGGTGCCCGCGCGAAGTGACGCAGCGCGGTTTGGCCGCTGTGGGGCGCCGTAGCCCGCGCCGTTGCCAGGGGAACGGGTCCAGCGCGGGACGAGGCCCAGCCCGCCACGGCCTGGCCCGTCTATACAGCCAGCCCTCTGGAGCGGGAGCCCGAGGACTCGCCGGCCTAATCGCTGCGCGGCCCGGGATGGGGCCTCGCTCCGGGGTGCGCCGCTGCCCAGTCCCGGGGACCCTCTCCGCCGCTGGGATCTGAAGCGCGGCCGCTCCTGGGAGGGTGGACGGCCAGGCGCTGGGGGTGGTGAACCGCTGGGTGACCTTGGCAGGGCCGATCTGGCTCGGCCGTCACGACGCGCAGGTGAGGAGCCCCCGCCGCGGTTCTCACCTCGAAGCCTGGCCTGAGCCACCGGGTTGTGTCTGCCGCCGCCTAGCCGGGTTCTGGAGCCCGCAGCCTGAGCTCCAGGGATTGGGCAGAGCGCGGAGCTTCTTTCTAGTATTTATCAGGTTCACAAATCTGCATCAAGCGCTTACTGTGACAGTGTGCCAGGCGCGGGGCCTCCAAACACGCGGCCAGTCTCCAAAACCCACAGAGTGTTCAGAGGGGACCGGGGCGGGTGGTGGTGGTGGTGGTCGTGGTGGAGTGGGACAGGCACCAAATACAGGACTAAAGTAATTTTAGGCGGGAATAAGTGCTCTGGAGATGAAATGGAGGGAGGTGGTCAGGGAGGGTCTGCTGTCGAAGGCCACTCTGAAGCTAAGACCTGAAGGTTGAAAAGGAGCCAGCATTGTGAAGCGGGGAAAGGATACTTCTGGAAGAGGGAAAAACAAATGCAAAGGTCTGGGGGCAGCAAAGTACAATTAAAGAACAGAAAGAGTGAAAGGGTGAGGAAGCCTTGAAGGATGTGGTGGGAGTTTCAACTTTATTCTAGTAGGAAGAGGAAACCATTGAAGAGCTTTGATTAATTTCAAGTTTTGAAAAGCTCACCTCACTCTGGCTTCTATGGGCAACGCGGTGGTGACAGAGCACACCAGGAAGTCAGCTGAGGGTCATTCTAGTTCTGCCAGTCTAGTTGTGCCTCTTAGATGAGCTTACTTAGTCTCTCTGAGCTTCAGTATCCTGTGACATGCGGATGTTGTTCTGCATGTTGTTTATGAGAGAGAAAGTGAGGGGCCCTCCGCCTTTGAGACCAATGACTGGAGAAGTCTATGAGAATAGTTTGAAATGATAGGACCTAACTCAGAGAGTTGTGAAGATTTAATAAGTGAATTTCGTCAAAACTCTTTGAGCAGTGTCTGGCACAGAAGTGCCCTCTAAGTGCTAGTGATAGTTATTATTGAAACACTGTAGGGGAGCAATGATGGAGGCTTGGATCAGGGTGATGGCATCAGAGACAGTAAGAAGTGGCTTAATTTCCCTTATTGAAGGAGAGCTGGGTTTAGAAATGGGTGAGGGGTGGTGGAGTTTCTAAACAGATAATCACCATGAGATGGAATAAAAGCAACATTGGTGCTTAACTAGTCAGTTTTTTTTCTTTCTTTTTTTTTTTTTTTAACTTTGTTCTGTCACAACTTTGTTCTTAATGACTGCTTCTTAGTGGGTGTTCCTCAAGGCTTGCTCCTGTAGTCATGTGAGTTGATTTCCTGGTTAAAATCAACAACCCTTGCCTCTGCTCATTGGCCTTATTTCTTCTGCTCCATGTTGCTCACTCCTTCTTGTCCCTTTTCCTTGCCTTAACTTGAATTTGTTTGTAGCAGTTGCTTCAGGAGGGGAACGGCACAGAAAATGTTTGCAGACCACATCAACTCAGGAATGACTGAGATTACAAGCTTTTCTTGCCTGAGCATGAGACCTCTGCATGCTGTTTATGTGAGGAGCTCAGCCGCACCTGAAACCAGTGGCTGGGGAGGTCTAGGGGAACTGCTTGAAATTCCAGTTGGTTTTCTGGGAATTGTGATGTGTATCTTCTAGTCAAACTATAGCCACTTCCCGGAATTTTAAGGCCAGAGACTTCTCTGGCACCTGTGAAGAATTTTAATAAACTACTTGCCCCCTAAGAGTTCTTTTTTAAAATGACTTTTTGTACTGTAAAGCAGTATGCACCATGTAACATTTCTTTCCAGCCTTCCTTTCAGTGGTTACATTGAGCATCTGTTAAATCTTGGTGAAAGTTATTTTAAAAGCAGATCCTGGGACAAAACAGATAACTTATTTAGAAATATCCATAGAAAATCACTTAAATCCTCTAGCCAAAAGAAAAGATGTTTGGGAGCAAAACCTCCCTGTGGCGTGCACCTTCCCTTTGGGTTTGGGAGTCATGAGGAACTGAACTGGCCCTTTGCCAAGGACTGGAACAAGGTCCTGCCTAGCAACACCTCTGTTTTGCTGTCTGGTTGTCTGATTTTGGCTTGGACAAGACCCCCAGCAGCTTGTAGGGAGCTCTGCGGCTCTTCACAGCTTTGCAGCTGAACGAGTCAAAATTGTGTTCGAGAGTGAGGAAGCACTGAGCTAAAACCGAGCACTCTTGTTGCACGGTTGTTAGGCAGGAGTTCCTTGTTTGTCTGGTGTGGTACAGGGTTCTGGATCACATGAGCACATTTTGTCCACATGGCAGCCCAACGGCGCCAGGAGGGCAAGAAATGACACCACTCAATTACTTATTATTTGACATAAATTTTTTTTCAAAAGCAGTACATGCACATGGTAAAAAAAAAAAAAAAAAAAGAAATTCAAACAACACCAAGGAATATACAGTAAAAGCAAATCTCTGTCTTACCCTCAGCCACTAGATCTTCCCTAAGGCTGCCCTGTTTGCTTCCTTGCATTTCCTTCTAGAGAGAATCTGTGTATATAGATGTTTGTTCATCTGCCTTTGTCTTTACTCACTTGGTAGCGCTTTCTACAGCAATTGCACATCTTGCTTTTCTACCTAATGGTCATTTTTTTTTTTTTTATGTTGTATAGCATTGTTTTTTATGTTGTTTTTGATGTTGTATAGCATTCCATTGTGTGGATGTGCCATAGTCTGTTTATATTGCTTTTTGTCCTTTATTATTATGAACAAGACTTCAATGTATCTCTGTTATACTTTGTGAGTATATGTATAAGATAAATATCTAGAAATGGAATGTGGCCCTAAGGGTATATGTGTTTTAAAGTTTGGTAGACATTGCCAAATTGCCTTCCAGCTAATTTTTTTGAAAGATGAGTAAAGGAGAGACCCAAAGAGGTGGCTGTATGAAATTTGCTCCCCCACCCCAGCTGGGTTCCTCAATCTGTGAGAGGCAGTGCAGGAACTGGAATCAGGCTCTTATCTCTGGGTCAACCCTCGTCCTTGGCTCCAACCTGTCTCTCCTTGTTGGTGGCTCAGGTCCCCGGGCCCTCCAATCCCTGATGGAGCCCCGTTATCTCTCCTCTGACCTTATCACTCTACCCTCCCAGTTCTGTGTCTCTCTCTACAAACCTTCTTTAATAACTGAGTTGATTCTTTCCCGAAATCCTCAGCCGAATGCCCACAGCCTCTCTAGGGCTGGTACTTTTTACCTCGTTCTGGTTCTTTTGACAACCATGCATGAATCGCAGAACCACATTCCGAAATATTTTTTTTTTGGTGGGAGCAGAGATGAGCAAGAGGGAAGTGGATCAGTCATGCAACTATTCTAGAGTTCATACTGATAACTTGAAATGTAAGATTTCCCTCATTTAAATTAGGCTTATAAATCAAGGTAGCTTAACCTTATTTTGAAAATGCTATTTTAGGCATTTAGCAAGTAAATAGTAACATGAACACTTTCACCTTGTTGGGACAAAGGAGGGGCATACACAGTCCTTCCATCCTGCCTCAGAAGCCAGATGGGTCCGTGGCTTACCAAGGTAGCAGTTACCTTTGATTCTAATTCTCCAGGGGGCCTCTTCCCTCTTGTGTTTGTCTCCACAAGCTTATCTCTGTGGGTTGTTCTGTGGCAGCAGAAGGTACATGAAGAATCTTTTATCAAGGCCCACATAGCTCTCAGCCCACCAAAGATGCAGCGGGGGACATTGGGTAGGCAGCGGGGAACTTGTAGGCTTGACCTCCACCTCCCTACCAACTCCTCCCAAAGTATAGGTCTGTTGCTATGGTGTCACCTCCCCCCAAGCCCTTTCTCATATCCTCCTCCTCTCTGTGACTGGAAAGCTTTCCAAAACCCCAATCAGTTCCTGTCACTTTCCTGCTTTAAACTTCCTGTGACTCACTGTGGCTCTTTCAGCATTGCCCAAACTTCCCCACCTGGCCTCCTAGGTCCCCTGTCATCTAAATCTGCAGCTCCCCAGGGCTCCTCTCTCTCTCCTTCTGTACTCTGCCCACCCCACCCTCCAAGCTCATCTACCCTGTGTTCTGAGTGGTTAGCCCCTTCAAGGCTGCCCAAATACGCATTCACGCACTGTCCTGATATCTGTCTAAGTCTGTCTGGGTCCCTAGAAAGCAAGCTCCTAAGGTCAGTAGCTCGGTCTCATTTGTCTTTCCATCCTCAGTGCACACGAGGGGCTGGGTCCCAATAAGTGCTGACTGGGCCAAGGCGTGAGTGCACAAGCTGGCCACGGTGTCCAGGGGCAGAGCCATGCATCTTTCAATCTATTCTAGAGAAGCGCTGAGAAGGAGAGATGGCCAGAAAAGTCCCTAGGTTTGGTGACAATGCTTAGTCCCATCTGTGCTTCAGGCCCTATCTTAGGTTCTCTCATCTTAGGTTTTCTCTGCAAGGGAAAATGTCATCAGTTAAGAGTTGGCTGGCCCAGGCTTTGGGACAGGTGACATGCCTCCTGACCAGCTCGGGTATCTAACTCTAGATTACTACCACTGCGGCAGGGGAGTGAGACCTAACTAACAGCACTGTCCCCTCATCCACGGTCTCATACAGTGGTACCTCTCTGGACCAAAGGCACCCTGGTTTAGAGTCAGTGCCCCCAAGGCTATTTGTATAGGCCTATGGTGACCCCTCTCACCTCAGGTATCTGGGCTGCAGCAGCACTGGGGGTGCTTGCGGCCACTGCTAGCCCCCTCCAGGCAGCAGGTACATAACAGGTACCTCTGCTTCTTTAGAAACTCCCTCAAGGTGTAGTTCTGTTAAGGTGTGAGGATGGCAAACAGAAAGCCAGAACTCAGGGATCCCAATTCATGGGTTCCCTTCAGCCTTCAGAGTCGTTGTCCTGATGATGATGTCACTGGAGAAGCGATGTGTGCAGACCACAGGGATTTGACCTCCCCCCCGCGCCCCCCTCGCCCCCTGTCCCCTGCAAAGAAGAACTACCCAGCTCAACTGTATTCACAGGGCTTGACCTGATAATTTTTGACTGTTTCTAAATATCATGGATAAAGATTTACTACCTCTGGGGACATTCCATATAAAATGATGCTAGCTTTCTGATCATCTTTGTCACCTTTGATTGAAGGTGAGAAGGTTAGAATTGTGTTCCAGTGGCTCAGCCTTTATGACAATGTGTTCCTTGGGACCACTGACATAAGACAGCAACTTCGACCATCCCCGTCACTTTGGACATAAACCTCATAGAATATCAGGTGCAGTAGCCACAGTCTGGAGAGATGAGGACAACCCAGAGGGCTGTTTTAAGGATAATTATGATGTCTACTATTTAGGGAGCATTTATGTGTCAAGACTTTACCTACAGCGTCGCTGATCTATACACAGCCCTGGGTAGACACCCCTACCTCGTTTTTCAGATGAAGAAACTCAGGCAGCTCAGCTAGTAAGTGCAGAGCCAGGACTTGAACCTAGATCTGTTTCTGCCAAAGCTGGGGCTCTTTTTTCACTGTTCACTGCTTCTTATTGAAGACAAGCAAATGACCAAAGGATTCCAGTTGAGTCCCTGGGAGAAAACTAAGGTCACTTCATTTAGCTTTGAGATGAAGCTACTCAGAGGTGACTTCAGATATGCTAGGCTTGGCTTAGCAGAAGGCAGAGTGGCTAAGTGCAAATGTCCCCAGTGGGCAGGGGGAGCTGGGGCGGGGGAGGGCTGGGTACAGGGTGCCTGTGCAGATCGAAGGCAGGGCAGAGTGGGCCAGGTAGCTTCGGGTGGACCAGGGTTCCACATCATTTACCATGCCCACATTTTCTTTTATTTCAGATGTTTTCAAGTCAGCAAACATTTACTGAGCACCTACTATGTACAAGGTATGTTTTGGGTGCTTGGGGGAGCAGATGTGGGAAACAGAAGTGAATGAATCACAGCACATTTGCTGCCCTTAGGGGAAGTTGGCATAACAGGGGGCAGACACAAGGACGGCAGAGTGTTCCAAATGGCAAAGTGACTTGCCTAGTTAAGACTGATCGTGAGGGCCCAGCTCTGCTGGGGGTACCCCTGGATGAGGAGTTGCTTGCAGTAGGCTCTGAAGGTCAAGTCACATTTTTAGGGGCCGAGAAGAGATGAAGGTGTTCCAGGCAGATGTGCCAAGGTGGGTTTGCTGAGACCTTTTGGCTTAATCAGACCCCCCGGCCCATGGGCCTGAGTTCCTGAAAGGAGAGTCCAGTTGCCAGGGTTTTGTCCCTAGCTCCTGGCCTTCCCACCAGGAGCTCCAAGTTGGCCTGTCTCCCTAAGTATGGTGTTGCCTGCCTGGGCTCTAGTCCCACCTCAGGCCCAGAAGATACTGGGGGTAGGGCTCTTCCTTCTGTAATGACAGGCTCCCTCACCACCCACCGCCCTGCATGTAGCTTTGGCTACCAGACCAACTCTTGGGCCTAAGGACTGCGGGGTGAGGGAGTGCTGCCACCTGGTGGTCAACTCTGGCCAAGGCCTGGCCTTCCCTGAGCGCCCTTGAGTCAGTCAAAGGGCATCAGTCCACCAGACCCAGATTTTACTTAGAGAAACGTGGTCATTTCTGCTGCTAGAGGGAACCAAGGAGGAATCGTCCCCTCTCCCCGTATGCTGGCTCCTCCCCAGCCAAGAAGCCTCAGGCAGCCCTTCTGAGGCACAGGGGATACTGTTCAGGGTCCCCCCAGTCCTGAAGGGATTGCAAGCTTACTGACGGGCAGAGGCCAGATCCCCCTTCTGGGCAACCCGACTCCCTGTTTCCCTTAGCATGTGGTAAGGGGCCCTCTCTGACACTTGTGTTGTGGCTGCAGGACAGGAGTGACTAATCCTAACAGAATCAGCATGTGTTCTCATCGCTCTGGCCCCAGCCTGATATTGTTACCAGATGAGAACATGTCTTATTGGGTTTAACTGTGATGGTTGTGGAGACAGAACACTTTGAGTAACAGGCAGCCGCTCTGTGTCCTGAATAAACCCTGGACCTTCCTACCTTGTACTGGCCCGCGCCAGGGCCAGAGCTGGCTCTGGGGCTTTGAGACCAGCACTCTACTACCACCCTCCTCCACTGCCCAACTCCATCATGCTACGGCCCTGGATTTTCCTGCACAGTAGCCAGGAGGTGGCTTCATGTCCCAGGCTGCTTTCTCCCCCTTGCTGAAACCTAGCTGCAAGCATGGGCTCTGGGTTCCAGCCTGGGCTTCCTCAGGCTAAAGCTTTCTCTACTTTTCTCCCTATGGAGATGAATATCTGCAACAAACCCTCCAACAAGACAGCCCCTGAGGAGAATGTGTGGACAGCACCTGCACAGGCTAGTGGACCTTCCCCGGAGCTGCAAGGCCAGCGGTCCCGCCGGAATGGGTGGAGCTGGCCCCCTCACCCGCTCCAGATTGTGGCCTGGCTGCTGTACCTCTTCTTCGCTGTGATCGGCTTTGGGGTCCTTGTTCCCCTCCTGCCTCACCACTGGGTGCCCGCTGGCTATGCTGTATCCTTGGGGAAGTACGGGGCTGGTACATGGAATTATGGGGGCAGTAGATGGAAGACATGGTGGGGCCTGAAACTGGGCTCCAGAGCCTCAGCACGGGAAGGCTCTGTCTCTTCCCCACGGGGTTCAGCTATTTACCTGCCTGGCCTTAACCCCTATCTGACCCTCTTCCTTATAGCGTGGGTTGATAGGCCTAAAGGACCTTAGATCATTTAAAGCCCCACACAAATGGGAACCTCATCAACTGAGGTACAGCAAGAATGATTATAGAAGAGAGCCTGAAAGCTCTCTTTAAGCTAATTGTGTCCAGAGCTTGAGATAAATTAGAGAGTAATTATTTCAATTACGAAAGAATTTTTTTTCACTTTTCAAAAAGAGTCATGGTAGAATTCTTTTACATAGTAAGTTTCCTGGCACGTTTAAAATGTGGTTTTATTAATGGACAGATTATTATGCTGTACCCAGGATTGTTTAGAAACTCATTGATTATGTAAATCAGGCCCTTTTAGGGTGAGGTTGAATCAACAAGAGGAGAGTTAAAGATGTCCTGGAGGCTCTTGGGAACCGTGACAGATGTGAACTTTGATGAACCTAGTATTGTGACTGCCTCAGCCCTGGCCACAACACTCAGGAGTAGAGGATGTGGCTTCAAGGCTGGAAATTGGAGTGTAGCAGGCGGCCACATGGCCCTATCCAGAGGGTGCCCGTGCAAGTACGCCCTGGTGTGTGTGCTTCATGGAGATGCTTCCTTGTGGAGGAGAGCTAGGTGAGCTAAAGGAGGTTAGCAGGGATAAACTTGAATGCCTCAGACATAGACTTAGCAGTGGAGCTTGGTCTCAGCTCAGCCCTTTCAGAGCTGTACAAGGTTGAGCAGCTTCTGCCAGCTCTCTGGGTGTCGGCCTCCTCCTCTGTCTGACAGGAATAGTCCTGCCTGCTTCTCAAAATGGGGCCACGGAGCATGCAAGGATATGTGTGTGAGCACCAGAACGCATGAGCCATAGGTATGAACATGCTCTCTTGAGAAACCACAGAGCCCTGGGCTGGTGAGTGACAAGGGCAGGTATGTGGAGAAGGGCTCTAGAGAAGGTTGCCATCTTTGGACACCAACTGTGTCACTGGGGGATCTTCCTGGTTCACTATGGGCCAGAGCCTAGTCATCAGCACTGTAAGTGGAAAACTGGGCTTTCCTTGAGGTGACCAACAGGTTTCAGTCAGGGCTACTAACTAGAATGTTTCATGGAATATTCCTCTCATGATCTGGAATGGGCACACCCCTCACTCGGGATTACCTGAGTTTCTACCATCAGGGTACCTGGGAAGCCAGGTTAATAACCGTGTGGTTTGGAGTGAGTAGAATCAGAGCAGATAACAGTAAACAAGAGTAACTAGCTTTTATTGAGCATTTTTATGAGCCAGGCACTGTGCCAACCCTTGTACTTGGATTATCTCATTTGATGCTCATAATGATCTATAAGGAAGGTATTCTCCCCACTTTACTAAGGAAGAAATTGAGGCTCAGAGAGATTAAGTGACTTCCTGAGGTCACTGTTACCAGTGAAGCCGGAGAGCTGCTCAGGCAGGCCAACACTGAGGCATTGGGGCAGTTGGAGGGTTTTTTTCCTCTCCACATTCATTGCTTTAGGCAATATGAAGGCTCACAGAGCCACCCTGTCTGACACTCCCTTTTCTGGGCCTGGATGGTTCTCTTCCCTTCCGTCAAAGTCCCCTTCCTTCTGTAGGCTCCCTCAGGACCCTGAGGAACAAGGTAGGGTAATGGTGTGTACCCAGTGCCTGTCTTGTCCTGAAACTGGCCTGGGACTGAGGGTTGCAAAGACAAACAGGACAGGGTGCCCTGGGGGTACTCAGCCTCCAGCTGGAGGGTAGCCTTGTAGGTTGGAGATCATCACATGGTAAGTATGGGGCTGGGGGCTCATACAGCAGACTGTGGGTACAGGAGATGGGCCATCTAGACCAACAGCACCACAGGCCCAGACGTACACCTGCTGCTCACAGCTCCCCTCCTCTCCTGTGCCCAGCGGCCTCTCCAGATGCTCTTGACTCCACCCCTTTGCTTTATCAGCTTTATCTAGTCAGTCTTCAAGTTTCCAGCCTGTCCCCACACATGCGCTCACTCCTACCAGTCTGTGTCCCTGCAGCCAGAGTGCCCTTTCAAAAAGCAAATCTGATAAAGTTGCCCCCCAGCTTAACACCATCTAATAGCTTCTTCCTGCCTGGAGGAATGAGGTTCAAGATGCTCAAGGCTCTCCGCATTCTGGCCTCAGCCCTATCCCCAGCCTCTTCTTATATTGTTTCCTGTGTTCTCTGTTGGGACAACACTGGTGTCTGCCTGGAAGCTCCTTGCTCCTCTCTCCACCCCAACACCCAACTAAATCAGAAGTCAAGAACTGACAGCCCATGAGCCAGTTTAGCCTATGGATTTTTTTTTTTTTTAATTGAGGGATAATTAACAACAAAATGGACAGATTTCAAGTGTTCTTTCAGCTGCTGGGTTTTAAAATTTTATTTATTTTTTTGTCACATTTAAAAAATGAGAGACCTCACATAAAAATCCAGATTTCTGGTTCCTTTTGAAAAGCCAGAATTTGGTGACATGGGCCCTCATTCTTGCATGGCAGCCCTGAGCTGAACTAGAACCACCTTTCTGGCTGGGACTCTGCTTGCTCCCAATAACCAGCCAAATCTCCTTTCCTCTTTGTGTTACCTGCTGGGTCCCTGTTATCTGTTCCTCTCCAAGTCTCAGCTGAGGTGATACTTCCTCAGGGAAGCTTTCTGGATCCTTTCAGACTAGATGAGGTCACACAAACTCACATAGTTCCATGAACTTTCTTCATTGTAATCAACCCATTATTTCAGTGGTCCCCAACCTTTCTGGCACCAGAGACTGGTGCTCCTATGAGAATTTAATGCCTGATGATCTGAGGTGGAGCTGAGGCAGTGATGCTGAGGAGCAGCTGCAAATATAGACGAAGCTTCATTTATTCACCCACCACTCACCTCCTGCTGTGCGGCCCGGTTCCTAAACAGGCCATGGACCAGTACTGGTCCGCAGCCCAGGGATTGGGGACCCCTGTATTATTTGATTAACATCTATCTTTTCCACCAGACTGTAGGCTCCTTGAGTCTAGGGACCAATTCCATCTTACTCCTGCCATATCCTTCAGTGCCTGACATAGAGAAAGATCTTAGAAAACAGTTGAATGAATGAACCAGGGCATGGGGGCAGTAGAAGTGTTGGAGCAGGCAGGAAACTAAATGTTTGCCCACATTCAGTGTGTCTGAAGAGAGGCTGGGAATGGTGAAAAGTAGTGGTTGGTGGTACCAGAGAGGTTTGAGAGGAGCCAGAGCACAAGGGGCCTCAGCACTGAGCCAAAGAGAAATTCTAGCTTGAGAGCCATTGAGAGCCAGTGTAGGAGTTTAAGAAGGCAAGCCTTTCACTTTAAGCTCTTCGAAGCTCACTTTGGGACCAAATGAAGGGCAGACTCAAGGGGTCCCAAACAGGAAGAGCAGAGTTGAGAAACTATGGAATAACTAGGCAAGAGGTGACCCATAGCCAGGACCATAAAGCGGTTTTAATGGGCCACAGGATTGTCTTTTTCAGCTATAGCACAGTACATTAGGGCAGAGCCTGGCCTGCGCAGACATGTAGGGCAATTTGGCTGCTGGGAGGAGGAGGAAGGGAGAAAAGGAAATTGGATAGCTGATGGATGGAGAATGAATGATGGAGCAATGATATCTGCCTGGCTAGCAAGATGATGGATGGATGGAGGAGGGATGGCTGTCTAGGTAGAATCTACTGGTGAATTTTTACTTTGCAGCAAGTTTTCAGCATATTCATTTCTAGAATTTGGTCCAATCACTGAGCAGATAGGTCCTGTTTCAGCTCTAGGAATTAGACATGCTGTCCCTGGTCAGGCCCTAAATGTATCAAGCCATCCTAGATGCTCAGCCCCAGGGCTCCAAGTACCTTGATTCCAGGTCAGAGAAGCAGTGGATGTACTAAAGCCCTGTCTGCAAGTGGTTTTCCAGCTGGCCTGGCTACTGAGAGAGGATGGCTGCTTCCCTCTCACAGTTGACTTCCTATGAAAGCAAGACAAACAAGCTTAGAACTTATATTTCGGGTCCCTTGACCTTAGAGGATGGTCTCTTTCAGTCTCACTTCAGCATTTAGAATATGAAACCAGATCAGATTTGGAGGTCAGACCAGCCAGGGCTTGTGCCAGGCCTGGAGCCTGAGGCCAGGGCCCCTCGGCAGCAGCAAGCAATGCTGGCTTGTTAGCTCTATTGCCAGACGTCCCCTCTCCTCTTCCATCTGGGTCATTCCTATGCTGAGTCTTGGAGGTAGGAGGTAGCACAAGCTAAGAGTCTCTGTACAAGGGAGTCACAGGGAGGTGGAGAGCAGCTCTCTCATCACAGGAAGCAGGGGTGGGGCTCCCAGCCGGCAGAATATGGAGTGAGTCTTTAACCTGCTGGGCCAGTGCATGGGCGCCATCTTTGCTGGCCACCTTGTGGTACACCTGACTGCTGTCTCCATCGATCCAGCAGATGCCAACGTACGGGACAAGAGCTATGCAGGGCCCTTGCCCATCTTCAACCGCAGCCAACATGCGCATGTCATTGAAGACCTGCACTGCAATTTGTGCGACGTTGATGTGTAAGTGCATGTGGTCAGAGAGTGTGTGGGGGCAATGAGTGTGCCTGGGTAACTGCCAGAGGGAGCTCAAGGCAGAGAGGAGCATGCCCAAGGCTTTACAGTCATCCTGATAATGCCTGTGTTTCACACAGTCAAGAATCTTGATGGAGTGACAGAGAATTGGGTGAAGGAGAAGGTGATTGAAAACAGAAGATGAGGACTAGCATTTCCAGCAGTTAAAATAGGAAACATTTGGACTGCCAAAAACATTTCTAATAAACGTTTCTAACTCTGCCAGTCACCCTGCCACACACACACCCCCACTCATTTCACAAGCTTTCTCAGATAGGGTTAGGGAGAGGAGTTAACACCTGAGTTCTTACTGTGTGCCTGGGTGCTTATGAACACCCTTGCAGGTGGACAGCATCTTTCTCATTCACAGAAGAGGAAGAGCCCAAAACTCTCTTGCTGAGAGGCCTGCCTGAGATCATATGTCTATTGGGCGGCAGAGCAAGATTTACCAGCAGTGTGTCTTGTCCCTGAGCTGATACTCTTACCCTCATTTACCCATGAGGACTCAGATGCAGAGAGGCCAAATGACTTGCTTCAGGTCACACTGCTGGTAGCGAGAGGAGGGAGAATGCGCGGTAACCCCCTTGGCTGGTCCAGAGAGCCTCCCCAGACCCCTTCCCACCTTCCTGGAGCTTCCAGTCTCCCAGGCTCAGGTTGGGGGTTGGGGATGGGGGTGTGGTCCAAGGCCAGCTCCACACTTCTAATCTGAAGACCCAGGCAGCCTGGAAGGGTCTGTCCACAGAACAGAGAGTGAGCCCGGGGCATAAAGGCCATGAGGACTTCTGCATCAGACCACCCTTTCCTTCACTAGGCACCAGTCCGTGCTGCTGTTCCTCAGTGGGTGCTCTGGCTGTTGCTGCCCATTCCAGGGCTCTGCCCTCTGCTGAGGGAGCGGCTGCACCCCACTCTCCCTCACTCCTTTGGGCTTCCCTGGTCCCTCTCTGGGGCTGGGAGACTCACTTGCATTCCTTCCTCACCTTACCTGTGGTGAACTTCCCCGACGTCCACCTAGATGTCAGCTTGCTTCTCTTTCTTTGGATGAGCTCAGACAGACGGAGGTTTTCTGGAAGAATGCCAGTAAAATTCCCTTAGACTGACAGGGAAACAAATACCCCAAAAATGGAGATGTCAGGAAGAGCAATGCCTCACTCTCTCCTGCTCCTTGGCTCCATGCCTTCATTGTCTCCTGGTCCAGCTCAGGGATCCTTGCTTGGAAAGGAAGCCCCAATTCCGTTTCACACCACCGTCACCGGTGTGCAGTCCCAGAGTGGGACAGTGTAATGTCCCCTACTTCTCCTGCCTCCGGGTCCCCAGCTCTTCAGAAGCACTGCCTCCTCCAAGTCCCCTTCCCGCGTTCCCACCAGAGGGCGCGCACGCTCCCCGTTGCGGAGCTCCGCGGTCCCACGGAAGCGCCGGATGGGTAACCTGCTACAGGCCCGGCGCTCGGGTCCCTCTGCCGACTCCCGCCGCTCCAGCCAGACCCGGAGGCGAAGGGGAGGACCAAGCGGCCGAATACGCTGTGCTCCCTCCTCTCCCGCAGGAGCGCTCGCTCCAAGCACTGCAGTGCCTGCAACAAGTGCGTGTGCGGCTTCGACCACCACTGCAAGTGGCTCAATAACTGTGTGGGCGAAAGGAACTACCGGTGAGAGCGGACCTGGGGCGCACGGGGCCTGGGGATGCATGGGTCTGAGTGTGAGAGCCGGGACCTTGCGGCTGCACAGAAGGCGGGGTGGGGCCGGGGGGTGCTTGGAGAAGCTGGGCGCTGGTGCGCATTCGCCAATGTGCTGCTCTGAGGTTGATGCTCTTGATGTCTGCCTCCTGGGACAGCTGAGGGCGAGTTTGAGATCTTCCTCCAGCTGTACCAGGGAAAGGTGGGGACCTGATGGAGCTGTGCCAGTCTATACTTTTGACCTAAGCCTTTGGCTTTATGAGGAGTTAGGGCTGTTGGAGAAGCCTGGCTCTCCATCCCCACCATGGGTCCTTCTGAGGTCTGGGCTTTTATCCAGCCTGAGCACCCAGGTGCTGACAGTTGCCTATGGCTGGGCCCAGGCTCTTTCTACACAGTGTGGCATCTGCCTTACTGGGTGTCCTGCTCCTTGTGCTGGTGGCCACTTATGTCTTCGTGGAGTTCTTTGTCAACCCCATGCAGCTGCGCACCAACCACCACTTTGAAGGTCAGTCTGCCAGGCCTACTCCCACCCCCTAATCCTGGGCCTGTTCTGGTCACTGGTCACAGCCCAGCCAAGTGAGTACAGTCTGCCTGTGTCTTGCAGTCCTGAAGAATAACACAGATGTGTGGTTTGTGTTCCTGCCTGCTGCCCCCGTGGAGACCCAGGCTCCTGCTATCCTAGCCCTGGCTGGCCTACTCATCCTCCTGGGCCTGCTCTCCACAGCCCTGCTCGGCCACCTACTCTGCTTCCACATTTATCTCAGTAAGTGTCCCCGCCCCCCCCACACACACCTGCCTTGCAGGAGATAGGGGTCCCTAGGCTTCAGGGAGGTACCCACTTGGGCTCTAGAGCTCTAAAGTCATGTCCCTTCCCATTGCTGGCTCTCTGTGGTGGCCTGGTCTCACCCCATGGGCTTAGTGTATTCGGGGACAGTGGTTTCAGCCTGGGACTGGGTACTCTCCCTCACCTCTGAACTCTAGGGTCCCCTTTCTACTACACTGAGCCCTCTCTCACCATCCTCAGTGTGGCACAAGCTCACTACCTATGAGTACATCGTGCAGCATCGTCCGCCACAGGAGGCAAAGGGGGCCCAAAGGCAGCTTGAGTCATGTCCCCCCAAGATGCGGCCCATTCAGGTATAGAAGTGGCCCAGAGGGCTGAGGGGGTGGGAGATGGGGCCTGGGTGTGGGAGGGGTGGTGGGCTGTACGGCGAGCTACCAATGATGAAACAAGGAAAAGGGAAGCAGGCCTAGATCAGCAGCTGGGGTAGGGAGTGCTGGGGACAGCGGGGTGAGGCCGCGCCTGTACTGAGAACATGCCCCCTTGCATAAGTGTGGGAACAGCACGAAGAGGCCCTGCATTTCCCAGTCCCCATGTATGCTCTGGTCCAGGCTGCAAGCATGTGCTAGAGGGTGTGAAACATGGGAACCTGGAGTGGGCAGATTGGGGCTGTGGGAAAGAGGGAGGGACGGACCAGAGACGGGGTCACCAGTTTTCTCTACTATGAACCTGAGCCCTTATAGCCAGTATCCTATTTAATCCTTAAAACAGCCCACGAGGCAGGTAATGTTGCCACACCCATGTTGCAGATGAGCATATTGAGGCCAAGAAAGGTTAAATGGAAGCTGGGTCTGGGAAGAGTTAAGGTCTCTACATTGCGAAGCAGGATCCATCCAGGCTAGTGCCTGCCCAGCCCAGCTGCTGATCAGCCTATCCCCATTCCCACGCTCTGTGGCTTCCTGAGGTCAGCAGCTGGGGGTGGGGGTGGTCCAGTCCTCAGAACCCCCAGGGACTGGGGAGGCAGGGGGCCCAGGCAGGCCTTGTTGGGAAGTCTGAACCCTGGATCCCAGATCCCCGTGGTAACAGGACACAAACACAGGCTAGTGGGCGGGTTGGGGGAGGGCTTGGGACCCTGCCTCTCCTGTTCTCATTGCCAGGGGTGGTCCAGGCTGTCAGGCCTGGGGAAATGCTGGCTGTTTGTGAAGACCCCTTGCCACACCACTGTATATCTGCCCTGGTGCTGGGCACTGACCCCACGTAAGCACAGTTGCAGCCCCTAGGGAGTGGATATCATCTCCAGCTCCACTTCACAGAGGAGTCTGAGGTTTAGAGAGGTAGGCAGGAGACTTTCTCAAGCTGTACAGCTGGTGCCCATTGAGACAGGGCTGGCCATGGGATATCCAGACTTAAGGGCTCTGGGTCCCTGCCCTGTAGTCACTGCCTGCCTAGGCTTTAGGGCCAGATGTTCCAGCAGCAAGGACATTTAATATCATCTGCAAAAGACTGGAAGGAGGCCTCCCCAAGGGAAGAATGGTGTGCAGAAGAGAGCTGAGGCTGAGAGGTGCCACAGTACCATTCAGGAATGTGCAGATGTTGAAGGTGTCTGAGGAAGGATCCTAGGGACAGCTCTGATGTGGGGAGGGAGTTTGATTGGGGATACCCTGGTGATACCCTCAGATTTCCCCAGCGGGCTAGGACCTGTATCTTGTTGCATCCTGGCCCCTCATGCTTCTGGGACCATTCTCTACTGCTGTCAGCTTTCTCTGCCCCACCCATCTAGAGCCCAGGGGCACCAGATAGACTTTGTCCATCTCTGCTGGACCCTGGAGGGGTGCTAGGTCCACACTAGGGAAGAAAAAAGATAGGGGAGAAGATCGCTTTGAGGCCCCAGTCCTTATGACTGGCCTCTGACCCCTTCCTGTTTCCCAGGGCTTCTCTGCTCAGGCTGGCACTCCCATGCTTCTCCCCAAAGGGCTAGCCTGGGCAGAGGTTGGGCACAGGTCTTGCTGGAGCTTCAATCTTTGCATTTGCTCAGTCAGCCTGTGGCCGGCTGGGCTCTGTCCCCTAGATCTGCCAGGGCCTCAGGCAGCCTCCCCAACCCCACCCTGGGGAGGAATGCGGGAGGGGCCCCTTTTTTAATGCGGGAGGGGCCCCACTCTGGAGCCGTTGCCCCCAAACATAGGCTTGTTTTAGAGACGGCGTTTGCTGTTACATTGTCCTCTCTGCATTAGTCAGGACGCTTGGGTCTCCATAGAAACGGCTGCTGAGCAGGCGACAGCTGTCCGGGTGCCCTCTCCCACCCCGCCTGGTGGGGGTGGGGCCTCTGAGTCCTAGCTCCTGCCCACATCCTCAGCATGCAGGCCTTCCTGGGCTGGCTTTGTCAAGGTTTTTCTTTTCTCACCTGCAGTCGTTGTGGGTGTAGCTGGAGCCCATTCTACGTGCTGGGGCACAGGCCTAGGCCACTCCTGTGACATCCCGGCCCCAGGCCTCCTTCCACTTTCAGGAGTTGAGCCTGGGACTCCCAGGGGTCACTGTTGGGATCTGCGACTAAACAGAATTCACGCATAAGCCTGGTTCCTCAGTAGAGCTGCAGTGATGTTTTTTCCACCACCCACTACCTTCCTTTACAGGGTAGGGGTGGGGGAGACTGAGCATTGCCCTGGTCCCCAGTTGTGGCTGGTACTCTGAGGATTCATCTCTGCAGGAACCCTCAAGCCATGTACACAGCCTCGGTGCACACACAGCTGTGTGTGAACAGCTGCCCAGCTAGGGAAAAAAATCAGTTCAGAGACTGGAGCCCTGGGAGGGGCCAGGAACAGAAGGGGGCAGCTCTGAGGGCCTCTTCCACACCACCCTCCTCGGCCAGAGCAGCTCTATACTGGGTACATTGGACCTATGAGGCTGGGGACTTCCTGGAAGAGGTAGAGTTTGACTAGATAGAGTAAGTCCCAGAAATGAGTGTTTTAAGCCTCATCCTGCTAGGGGGTTTTCCCAGCTGAGAGGCCTGGAGGAGGACAGCCCTAGACCTCTGTACCCAGACCTCCCACAGAGGCCATTGAGGGTATGTTGTATCCAGGACTGGGTGTGCTCAGGACTCAAGGTCCTGGATCCACACCTGGCCACCCAGCCTCCTGACCCCCACCTTCCCCAGGAGATGGAGTTCTACATGCAGACCTTCAGCCATGTGCGCCCAGAAGCCCCTGGCCAGGCCAGGCCTGCCTCAGTGAATGCCAAGTGAGTGTGAATGCCATGTGGCAGCTGGGCATCTCCCATTGTCATGGCAGGGCCATCTGAGGTGGGAGAAAGGGGGTAGGCCAAGGCCAAGGCCCAGGTCTGAATCCATCCCCATCTGGCTTTGAACAGATCAGTAACCCTTCTATTGTCTGCTAGGAAGGGAGGCTTATTTGAGGACCTTCAACTGGGTGGGATTTCAGGGATCAGTGGAATCCAGCACTTACCCTTCCACTTCCCCCTCAGTCCCTCTGGCTTTCTTGCTACTGGCAGCCAAGTGGAGCCTCCACCGCCCTCATCCCCAGAGACTATCGCTCTGCCCCCAGGAATCCGACCCCAGGTAGGGGGGTATTGTGCTGGGCCCCCACCCCAGATGGAAGGGGATGGGAAAGAAGCCTGCCCCACTCCTCTGCTTCTTCTGGTGATGTGGGGTCAGGGGAAGGAGTACTCAGGTTCTCCGCTATCTCTGCAGAAAAAGAGGAAGCGGCGTGTTTACAAGGTGCAGACCTCTGGGACCTTGGATCTGGAGCCCCAGCTGCCCAGACTGCCAGGTGAGCGCCCTTCCTGACGGGATCCTGCACCGGGAGCTCCGCGGGAAGGGGCCCGAACGAATCGCGGCCCCTGGTCTCACCTTCCCTTCCATCCCCTCAGAGCCCAGGGTGCCGGGCTGCAGCTCCAGCTCGTCGTCGGATTCCACAGGTGCCAGCCCAGTGCATGCTGCTGGCCCTGCAGACGCATACCACTCGGCGTCGGCGGAGTCCATGGACGAGATTCCGGTGGCTCAGACGCGCCTGGGTAGCGCCGCTCTGGCCGCCCCCGGGGACAGGTGCCGAGAGTCCGGGCTGGCGCTGCAGGCGCGTGTGCCCGCAGTTTTCGTGAGTCCGAGCAGTGGCAAGCCCAGGGAGCAAGACGGCCAGGAGGCCGGTCTGGCTTAGCTGGGCCGAGAGGCCGAAGGGCCGAGGAGAAGCGGCCGGCCCGACTCTCTATGCAACACCCAACCCTCGCCGTGGGAATGCACTTTAGGAGACCCTAGGGCTGCGGGATCGGCCCCCTCCCCCATGACTCAGCAATACCCGCCCCACCGGCCATGATGCTCCAATAAACCTTTTTTATGCTTTTGCGGACTTACTGCATACTTTCTTAATGGCAAGCGGCATGGGTCCTCCTGGAGTCCGATCATTGACAGTTGGCCTAGGGGCAGAGAATGGGGTGGACCCCCTTACAGTGGGTGACCACCCGGATTGTCATATGGAGGTAAACGAGGACCTGAGGAGCTCAGGTACAAGCAAGGCTCCTGGTTAGGTAAGATCCTAGAAGACTGCCTGGAGGAAGTTATTTTTTTTTGAGGATAAGTTTGCACTTGGAGACAAGGGGAAGAAGACTTTCGGTTCTGGAAGCAGCAGCGGGAGCAGAGACCCGGGAGCTTTTTCCTGGCGGCGAGATCTCCATCGGTGTACCAGGATGCTGGAGCTGGGCACTCCTCATTTGCTCATTGTCCCCTCCCGTTCCCAGTGATCCGGAGTTGTAACCTGGGGACACCACATGTTCTTTGGAGAGCTGTGGTCTTGAGCCAGCTCTAGACGCCACTCTCCACTGTCACTGAGGGTAGGCATCTTCTGGCTCCTCTGCCCCTCCCCTCTCCTTCACCGTCCTCTCCTCCTCCAACCTCCTATCCCCCCCCCCACATCCCCCTCCCCCGTCTCAAACTGCCTTCGCAGCTCTGGGAAGCTGGATCTCTCCTGGAGGCGGGGACCTACTTTGAACTTTGGGTGGAGCCCAGGAGGAGGGTCTTTTTTCCCCATTTGGGGGCCATCCGAGAACGTCCAGAACTACAAAGGGATAGTCTACCCGGCCGCAAAGCTGCGTCGGGCGCTGCAGAAAGAGGCTATCGTCGCAACTCCGCCTCCGCCGAGAGCAGAGCGCCGATAGGCCGGGGTCTGGTGGGTGGAGCCAGCGTGACCTTGGTCACTCTCCCGCCCGCCGAGACAACCCGGGGGGGTGGGACTCGCTGTCTCTATGGAGACCGAGAAACAGGGGATAATACGGTGGAGCCGCCGGGGCTGCAGTCCTGCCCCAGAGCCGGCAGGGAGCAGAGCTGCGGAGCCGCCTGGTCTCCCGCGTCCGTGGGTCCATTCTTGCGTCTTTCTGTCCGTCGAACGAGCACTGCAGGAGCAGTCACGAGGTAGAAGTCGGTAGGAGACCCGGGCGCCGACCACCCACCCTACATAGTATCTTGCACAATAAGGAAGGGGGGTGGGGGTGAGAGCGGCCTGGAAGGGGTCCCAACCCTGGGTAGTACCGAGCTGAGGACGCCGGCTGAGCGGCCCCTGCCCTGGACCCAAGTGTTCTACCCCCTCCCCACCTCCTTGCCCGGCTGATTGATGACTCCAGCTGTCCCAGCGAGAGCAAGCGGGTGGCCTTAGTTCACGGGCGTGGCCGCTCCATCCACGGCCTGCAGAGTCCTGGGACTACAGCCTGCGCCCTGGCTTTACCTGATCGGCCCCTAGATTACCAAGAATTCATCTTCCCACATACAGGAGTGAGCACTGGGTGCAGGATACAGCCAGTCTCCTTCTCCATAAACCAAGCGCTGGGTCTCCGGTCGAGGGTGGGAGGTAGCAGTGTAGGGAGAGGGTAGTGGACTGAGATTGTGGGCCCACAGAGTCGCTGCAATGTAGGAGCTGTGGATGCTCCCAGTCCCCAAAACTGCAGCTTAGGAATGAGTGTGGTCACTGGTCAGTGATAGTGAGAGAGGGATAGTTGGGCAGAGGCCCAGGCCGCGTTCACTGGAGGCTCTAATATAAAAGGCAGAGGTAGAAGATGGTTGCTGAAAACACAATCAAGTGTGTAGTCAGGAGGCTGTAGTGGAGACTGGGGGCCATCCGAGAACGTGGAGGAGGTGGATGTGCTTAGGGAGGTCTCAACACAGGGTGGTCAGAACATAGTACCTAGGAGTCTGGAAATGCAAGTCTGTAGGTGTGGACACTGGTGGGCTTCAGTGCAGGGCTGAGAATGTGGCCAGAAAATTGTATGTGGACAAGGGGGCTACGAGGGTGTGTTTAAGAATGAAGGTGTGTGGAGAGGGGGTGAGTTGTGAGGCTCTGGTTGGGGTCTCAGTAAGGGCTGCGGGTGTATGGATGGAGGTGGCTGCAGTGCAGGGCTGAGGGTGTGGTCAGGGAGGCCTCAGTTTGAGGCTGTGCTACATGGTGGGGTTTCAGTGCAGCGCTGTAGGTGTGGTCAGGGGACTACTGTGGGGGCGTGGGGGCCCTTCAGTGCAGGTCTGAGGGTATTATTGAGGGAGTCTCAGTACAAGGCTCTTAATATATGTGTCGGAGGCAGATGCTGAGAGAATGGCCCAGGCCCTCAGTCTCAGGGCTGCAGATGTGGTCAGGGGACTGCAGGGGGGGCTGTGGGGGCCACTTCAGTGTGGGGCTGTGGGTGTGCTCAGGGAGGTCTGAGTACCAGGTTAAGAGTGCGGTCAAGAGGAATAAGACTGAGGGTGTGGAGGGCTGTGCTGAGTCTGTAAGCTACAGGAGTGTGGGCTGGTGTGGTAGTGCCCAGGGTGTGGCCAAGGGGCCTGAATGGAGGGCTGAAGGTGTTAAGGAAGGGTGCTTTGGTGCAGGACATAGGTGTGAGGATCACAGGGCCAAGGCCACAGTCCCACCCACCAAAATGCCTCTGAAGGCTCGGATTGGAACTCTACAACCCCCACCTAGGCTAGCCCCCCAATCTCCTGCTCCTCCTACACGCCACAGACTGGGAGGTAACAGCCCCAATGGGTGGCAAGGGGCCAGGAAGCTGTAGTTGTGCCCCAGGCACTGGGAGTGCTGGTGCGCCCCACCCAAGGGCCCTGGTTTCCCAGCCCAGCCCAGCCCAGCCCAGCAGCACTGGGAGCTTCTCCCTGAGCTGCCCTGACACCATCCTGCCCTTAGCAACATTCTCCAAGAAGCACTACCCTCCCTTAGCAACCGTCTCCAGGCTTCACAAACTGTGGCCAGGCCAGCCCCAGGCTCCTGCTCCCCTTATGTTTTTGTTTAACAGCAAATAGTAACAAGGTCCTAGCTGGGCCAGCTGCACCCCTGCCTAGGGCATGCACCCCTGCCCGTGCTTTGGCTCCTTTCTCAGCCTGGGCTGGGTCTTGCTGGGTCCTCATGACCCTGACAAAGACACTGTCCTTACTAAATACCTAATAGCAGCTTAGCCCAGCCCTGATCAGCTTGGCATGGAACTCCCTCCTAGGGAGAGAGGCCTGCTCTGCCACCCTTCCTTCCACCCAAGCAGGCCTTGTGCCAGGGCCAGACAAAGCCATGGCCCAGCTGCTGCCCTCACAGCCTTTCTGGACAGTGCCACTCTGTTCCCATCCTGATATGAGCATCATGATTTCATCTGAACTCCATTCCAAGCCAGGGCTGGCATTAGGCAACAGGACCTTTCATCTTGGGGCTCTTCCTCAGGGCTTGGGGGCCCAGGGAGACACTGAGTGCTGGCCCCTCTTCCCAGGCAGCTCCAGCTCCAGCTCTGAGGGTATGTAGCCTACATGCCCACAACTCAGACCTTGAAGTTTTTGAGGTAAAGGCATGATGTTCTGTGCCTTGGGGAGGGGAGGGACAGCTTGGCTGGGAGGTGACTAAGGTGGATTCCTACAGAGTGGCATGGCAGCGAGCACAGACGTGGCTGGGCTGGAGGAGAGCTTCCGCAAGTTTGCCATCCATGGTGACCCTAAAGCCAGTGGGCAAGAGATGAATGGTAAGAACTGGGCCAAGCTGTGTAAGGACTGCAAGGTGGCTGACGGAAAGGCTGTGACAGGGACCGACGTCGACATCGTCTTCTCCAAAGTCAAGTGAGCCCCAGGGGTCCCTGCTTCTGATGTTCCCAGAAGGTGGGGAATTGGGGGGCTGGAAGCAGGGAGGACATCAAGAAAGGGGAAAACTCATGGTGCCCACATACCTGACAGGGGGAAGTCTGCTCGGGTCATCAACTATGAGGAGTTCAAGAAGGCCCTAGAAGAGCTGGCAACCAAGCGATTCAAGGGGAAGAGCAAGGAGGAGGCCTTCGATGCCATTTGCCAGCTGGTAGCAGGCAAAGAACCAGCCAATGTGGGCGTCACTGTAAGTGCCCTGATGATCTCAGGTAGCCATTGAGGGGATGTGGGGAATCTCAGCTGGGGGTGGGAAGGGCTGGGCTCCCTAACCAGGTGCTCCTGGGGGAACTCTGTCCAAACAGAAAGCAAAAACAGGGGGTGCTGTGGAACGGCTGACTGACACCAGCAAGTACACGGGTTCCCACAAGGAGCGCTTCGACGAGAGCGGCAAGGGCAAGGGCATTGCTGGGCGGCAGGACATCCTGGATGACAGTGGCTATGTGAGTGCCTACAAGAATGCAGGCACCTATGATGCCAAGGTGAAGAAGTGAGGCCTGGGGAGGCCCCCCAATGCGACTGCCCCTGCCAGAGGCTCAGGCCTGGGCCTAAGGGGCACGTGGAGCAAGAGAGTCCAGTCCCCTCCCTGCTGGACCTGCCACCCAGAGCTTCCTGCCCAGCCCCATGGGGCCAGCTCACCAGGCCTCTGACCCAGATGCACTGTGTCCCCTTTCCTTTCCTCTTTCCTCCATGACTTTTGTCCCTCTGGGAGAGTCTGTGCCTATAGCCTCATTGCCCCAACCTAGCCCCAGGCATGGCTAACCCCTGCCTGCTTGTCTCATATTTAAGCTGCTGCTCTGGCCAAGAGCCTAATTCTTACCCAGACCTCAATAAAGCCACCTTTTGTATCAATACGGCCTGGTCAGGTATCTGACATTCACACCTCCTCGGTGTTATCACCCCTTTGTGTGTCACTGCTGATCCTTTCACTGGCAGCCCTGCCCAGAAAAAGACAATAGTCTCTTCCATTAGCACAGAGCCAGGCTGCCTGAGGATGCTCCTTAGGGAAATCTAAAGCCTTTTGCCTCAGCCCTGACCCTGGGTGGTCCTAATGGCACAGTTTGCCTTCCAACAGTTAGGGCCTCTCCGCTTTCACAGCAGGAGGAGGGATGAGACAGCAGATTTGGCCTGGGCCAAATGTTGGCAGGAGTCCAGTGCCAGGCCTCGGCTCTCAGCCTGCTGATAGTTTCCCACTTCTGGGGGCTACCAAGGCAAGTCATTTTGGGCTCCAGCTCAGAATATCAAAGAAAGGAGGACCAGAATGAACCTTAGAGAGTACATAGTCCAACTCCCTAATTTTACGGCTGAGGAAGCAGACCCAGAAAGTGGGACTTCTGCAGACAGAGGCCAGACCATGTCTCTTGTCTCCCAGGCCAGGCTCTTTCTAACACATCGAGCCCTAAAATGATTTCCAAAAGTGAGACTGGATGGTCAGCCTTTGGGAGGCAAGCAGGACATCTAAGAGTGCCCCAGCCTCTTATCACTGACTCCTGTTTAACATCACAGGTTGGAAGGAGGGTGGGGGCCTCTCTGGTCCTGAGGACTCCTGGGATTTCCAGATTAAACTTTTCTCTCATAGGCTCTGGGTGTTAGGTCAGAGCTATTCCCTAGGCACAAGGCTTACGGACCAACTCTTCTTCCTTCTTGCTGACTAAAAGGCTGGACTGGACTGAGGCCCTTCCCAGTAGAGGGCATCTCCCAAGGGTACCTAGAAAAGGCTTAGAGGCACACACTCACAAATACCTTCTTTCCCAAACCTGTTAACAAGGCATAGTAGTGCAACTGCTTATTCCCTCATCCCACAGGCTCCTCTGGGATGTTCCTGCCCCAGGTGGACCCAGAGTCCCTTGAGCCCAAGTTTTCTTGGGAGTGGGGGTGTAGAGGAATAGTATGGTTCAGGAACAGGGATGCTGGGGTGGTAAGGCGGGAATTAGAGGGAGGATCAACGCCTGGCCACAGCAGAGCCTTGCCTAACAGCTGACAGCTGGAGCCTCCTCCAGACTTGGCCAACCACTTCCCCTTGCTCTGCCCAGAGAAGAATTTCAGAAAGTTCTACCTCTCTCACCAGCAAATAGAGGAATGATTCCTCTAGCCTTGGGGAATTTTGTCTGAATTGAAAGCTTACTTAAGTGAGCACAATAGGAAGGAGAGAAACACAAATCCTTCTGGCTTTCACTTGCTAAATTATCCGCATAGAGAAAAGAATTTAACTGGATTGCAAATTGATCCAGCAGTTCAGTGATTAAGCTGCAGGTGAGCATATCTATTGTGTAGGGGAGCTGTGGCTGGGCCCCAACTGTGACTGGCAGTGAGGTTTAGAGGAACCCAGAGAGAGAAATGGCTGAGCCCCAAAACTCTACCATGTAGGAGTAAAGCCCTTCTTCTTGAAAAGTGGTCATGGAGCCTGAGGGAAATTAAGGCCTGCCCAGAGCCAGGACCAGTGGGTTTACTAACAGAATCCGGTGCAAGGCAGCCATGGACCAAACAGTGCATTTCAGCCCTTCAGTCATCACTGTTCCACCCCTCATAGCCTCCTCATTGTGGAAAACTTTGGGTACCCTTCCTAGCAAAGCCAGCGGGGCAAGGAAGAGAGGTTAAGATCTGTGGGATGGAGCCATTAATATCTTCTATGTATAGCTGGTTGGCTCTGCCCCTCCTTTTAGGCACAGAACTTCCCTGAGGACCCAGCCCTGTTTCCTTCTTTCTCCCAATAGTGCCAGGCCTCGAGTGAGGAATCCCTCTCCACTTGTTTTCTGTTAGCTTCACAAGCCTTCCCTCTTCCATGTTGAGCCCACTTAGCTGCACAGGGCAAACGATTCTTTGGCAACCTTCCCTTGGCACTCCCAATCCCCACCCCTGCCCTCTGGTCCAAGGGCCACACAGAGAAAATCAGAAACACAGTCAACTTCCCTAGGAGTGGCCAGCAACTCTAGAGAGGTGCCTGACCTGGGAGAGGGCCAGCCACTTTCGGTGACAATAGGAAATAGGGTGAAAGGTGACTCAGTCTGGGTCAGAGTCTTTGTTCCTTCTCAGAAGTACCCTGAAAAGGTTCTGGGGTTGACATTAACAGATGTTCATAGGGGAAGGAAGGGAGGGCTGGGGTTGAAGAAAGAAAGAAGTATGTTATCTCTCCCCGACTCCCTGCGCCACCCTGCTGCCCCAGTACTGTCTGTCCAGTAGGTTTGCCCGTATACTGGGCTGGGACCCTGAAGTATGACAGTTCAGGGCTGCAAGGTTACTGGCCGAGGCTACCCTACCTGGGCAAAGCTTAGGCTCTCTGGAAGACAGGCTAAGTGTTGGTAGTGGTGCGGTGCTGTTCCTATTGACATTGCCACAGAGCATGAGCTCACTCTAGCTCCCTCAAAGCCACATTGCTCAAAGACACTTATGGCTCCTCTGTGAATGCTTCTTTGGGGAACCCACATAAAATCCAGCAGTTTGTGGATTTGATTTATAACTTAGAAATGTGTGTTCTTGGTTGCGATCTTTGTCTCATTATTATCACAATAGCTCTCCTGCCTGGCACAGCACCTGGATCAAAGGAGCAAATAAATCTTTCTGCCTGCTTCTCTCTCTGACATGCCCCTAAAGATGAAGAAAAGTACAACATGGCATCAGGCCAGCAGTCCTTCGCCCTCCATACACTCTCTGGCAGCATTAGCTACCTGGGTGACCCTGAAACAGAAACATACCTAGAGCCACTTTCATTATCTTTTCTCATTTTAAGATGCCCAATCAATCAGGATTAAAAGAAAGATTGTGCCTCTCTCGGAAACACAGAGTACTCATGTGTAAAGTGGATGCCAAGCTTAAAGCAAACATCCAGAAGCTCCATCTCTGGTCTGGACTGCAGCAGCCTTCTCTCATCTCTCTAGCTCCTCACTGGTTCTTCCCCACTCCACACAACTGTCAATCCATTCTTACAGAGAAAGCGTCTCAAACACAAATCTGCCATTCCTCTGCCTTCCCAATCTAAAATCCTCAAGGAACCATGCAACCTACCTCCTGCTTACCTCCTCTCAGCCCCTCAGTTCTCTGAAAAGACCATGTTTCTTCCCATTTCATGGCTTTTGCAGATGCTGTTTCTCTCGTAGCTCTCTCCATTGCTTCTGCTCTCGGCCCTATGCTTGCCTGGTAATCTTCTATTCAGTCTTCAGATCTCACTTGAAAGATCATTTCTTTAGGGGACAGTTCCTGACACCACCCCTCACAGGCTAGGACCAGTTCCCCGGTTATACACTCTCATGGCACCATGACTTGCATCTTCCTTGCCCTACAGTTCCTCTGGGGGCTCCAGACTCTTCTACTCTGTACTTTTGGCCTAGGAAAGCTCAGCTTCTCCTCCATCTGCTCCCTTTCTCTCATTCTGCAAGCTTCTACTTGAACACATCCTCACTGACATCTTCTCCAATTCCACAGAGCAGGAATCCCCCTGACCCACTTCTCTCTCTCTTTCTGAGACATTTTTAGGCTTCTGTTTAGACTTGTTTGGTCCTAATGCCAACCTCCGAATTCCACACAAGGTTTTGCTTTCCTCCCTGATTAAATCTCTAGGGCAGACACCAGACCTTGTCACCTTTTTACTATGGGTGGGAGGAAACTCAAAACATGATTGATGAACCAATCAATATGGATTCTCTTAAGTTTCTTCTAACACAGAATATACCTGGCCATGGATGTTCCTTTTTAACTTCCTACCACACAGTTACAAGTGACACGTGGGAAAAATGTTTAGTGTTTTTTCCATTTCTATATTTTCAGCCAAATGTCTCTATGTGATACGATGCTAGGACTGAGTGCCAATTATTCCTGTGGGCAGAAGGAAAGAATGACTTGATGGGAGGAGATAAAAAAAATAAACAAATAAAGAGAAGGACCAATGCAATGTAATCAGAATAAGACTTTTTCTTAATCTTGTGGGTAAATACCACCATACTGGTGGCAATGGCATTGAGGGCCCCCCATGGCTGAGAGAGAAGCTGCAGAGGTGTTCAGTGCTAGCTCCATAAACTAGTCTCTGGGACAGAGTTTGAGATACTCTGTATTAGATACTGACCCGTGTCATGTGCCACTGGTGAGGAGGAAGACAACGTGTTTTTCCCGAAGGGTGATGATCTCCCCAAATGATGACTCTTCTCAGGAGGCAGGAGTGCTTTCCCAGAATAACCTTTTTGCTCTTTATTCAGCTGCTGCAGCAGATACTCATTAGTTACCACCAGGGACCTGGGACACAGGGGAAAAGGCAGTCATGAAATCATGAAAGCAAAGTAAATGCAATTCAGACCTGAAGTGTTTGCTAAAGACAAATGTAAAATGAAGTAACATCTTTAATCAGAAAGAACTGTACGATTTATGAGTTATTTTAAAAGCAGGTTGATGGTTTCTTTCTTCATTACAGTTCTATTTGATTATGTTCCAGACTGACCATTGCTGTAACATAGTTCTCATTTTATAACAGTGATCGTTCTGTTCTTTCCAAAGCATTTTCATGATGAAGTAAGTAGAAGCCCTGGGAGATTGGCACCTGATCAGGCTTCCAATTTCTATCTCAAAATCTTAACTTCTACATCTTTTAATCTGTCTTGCTTCTGCAGTTAACTAGTGGTGCTAGTCATGGCCGTATTCTTGGACTCTGATTACCTGTAATGTTAAAAGTCATCAGAGGCTGGCCAGAAAAAAAGAAAGAAAGAAAAAAAGATGCATGCACAATGCTATTCATTGCAGCAGTATTTGTAACAGCAATATACTGTCAACTTAAATGTCCATCAATAGAGGACTAATTAAATAAATACAGTGGAGTCCTACACAGCTGTAAAAAGGAATGATAACTAACTTTATACACCACTGTGAACTG